GTTGACGATTTGTTGATAGAATTCGTTATAAGATGAATAAATTAATTCGTAGTTAATAATCAATACGATCATTTAAATTTAAATTCAGGAAATAAAATCTGTTTAATGGAGGTTAGCTCATAGTCGGTTTTTTTTTCCGAATTATTCAATTATTGCTTGCATTTCATTTTAATGTAAATCCCAGTTAAATATATATAGTCGTTTTAGACTTTTTTTTGGAATTGATATCATAGCGTTGCTAGCTTAATCATAAAAGTGTGTGTATTTTCTTCTCAATCGTTGTTGACAATACAATTTTTATTATTATTATTATTATTGTTATTTTTTTTTTTTTTTTTAATTGTTTATCTCGTATGAATACCACGTAACCAAAGCAATAAAGTACGACAAACTCATTAATATAGTCGATTAGAAGCAAGGGAAAAGGTGATTTATTTTTTGTTATTTTTACAAATAACTAAAGTAGTTTTGTAATAATTGTAATCGTATAAATCAATAAATCATAACAGTTGAATAAATTACAAATTACCGAAAATCGATATGTATTAAACAGGGGGTGCCGATCGAAAATAGCACATGGGCTCCAAAAACCTGAACACGTCTCTGCTTACTTACCTAGCACCTAACTCCTACTATGGATATAATATAAATAATCGCTGTAAATAAGAAACGTATAGCATAACGGTAGCGAATGAAGGTAACTGGAATCTTTCGAAATAAAATTCGTTTGGTTTTTTTCGAGCTGGTCACAAATATATTTTATAAAACTCTACCCGCATTACACTGGGACCCCTCCAATTCATCGGCCATGGCACAGTTATAAAAAAATCCTTAAAACAGCTACTTAGTTGTGGTATTTAATTGATACATTTTACGTTATTCATATTATAATTATAATTCGGTTATAACTCTACCGTTAAAACAGATAAATGTTTTCATTGGAAAAAACTTTTTCCGATTTTTTTTAACTATTTGATTTTCCTCGTTGTCCGCCTTACTTTATGGCGTGATAATCATATTACTTTTAATTCTATTGGGCGATTAATATCGTTATTAATTTTTTAAATGTATTTTATGCGGGTTTTTTCTAGAAATGTTTTTAAATCGTCAACTAATTATCGAATTATCGTACGATTTATCGGTTTAATATTTTAAAGGTTATTGTAGATTCCCAGCGTATAGATGCATTGGTTTTGTTTGTATCACTATGATATATATTTATTTTTTTTTCTAGCATAGTTACTTTTTTATCGGAGTTTTCCCATAATTAAAGAATGGCAAAATGCTCTTTTTAATGCATTTTGAATTTTGATTTTGAGTAAGAAAGCCTTTTATATATATATATATATATATATATATATATATATGTCCCGTGTAGTTTTCTTAATTAGGCATTACTGGAAAAAAACGTAAAAAAATCGAAAATGTTTACGGATATACCGGTTTCGTTATTTTTAATTTTGTTTTTTTGTCGGTATTGGGTTGAAAATATTATTAGAGACATGACTGATGTTTTTACAAAATACTTGTGTTGGATTTTTAGGTATAGTTGATTTTAGAACTATTTAATGGCATTTCGGAGTTGTTTTTTTTGAGTTTTTATATGATAGGTATTTTATGGAAACAATTGTTTGTTTAAACAGAAATACTTGAACATTGAATACGAGGTTTATTGCAAATTGTACTTGTGGCGAACAAATATAATGTTGAACGTAATTTAGAAGTTTTTTTTTTATTTTTAAAGCCGTTATGTGAACAAAATTCCACGAAAATCGTTAAAATTATATTATTTCAAATCATTTATACCCGATCTTCGCTTTATTATCGCGTTTCGTTAGCAATAGTTTATTTTCCCTTGCATATGTTATGTATATAAATTAAATAACTTAACGTATTCTTCCTTTACGTTTTTTCACTTGTAACATTGGCTGCACCCGACTTCAATATCGGTTTTTTTTTTTTTTTTTGTTCGCCAAATTAATCTCAGTTCAATCGTACTTAAATTCTTAAACATCGAAACACAAATAATATATCACTGTATTTCGCGTGCCTACGCCGTATCTGTTCGCCGCCAACTACACAAACACCATATTTTCAAAACGGCCAATTACCACGCTTTTGGCTTGCCGAACGGATATACTCACAAACGAAAAGATTGATTATGAACACGAGAAAAAATATATATAAACTCGTGGGCGTCCGACTCGGGATTTTAACGAATTATATCAAAAGTAGTTTTGATTGCGGTTCGCAATTGAACTAACGTCTCGTCCGAAACGGGAAAACGCACTGCGGACGACAAAATTCTCGTACCGCGGGTACATTGAAAAACGAATATCTCGGTTACCATTAATATTAATTTTTTTTTTTTCTGTTTTTAGACTTCGGTTGTACCGGCGAATATTATACTATGTCATTGTTTGGATAATTAAACCACGTTTAGTGTACTTCTTTTTCCAATACCGATCAATACATGTATACATTTAGAACGATTGAACGTTTTCGTAAGTTTTCGAAAATCTGTATGTATTATTTATTTTAATAAGGAAAATCGCAGACGAAGCAGCGTCTCATTTGCTCTATCTGGCGAGCCTCCACCGCTGTATCGCGCGGCTGGCATCGTTCTCGACTGATTTCGACGTCTTAAAGACGCGTCCCTCCGTACATCATTCGTATTAATTTCCGTTTTACACGAACAGTCCAAAGCACGGAATCCGAAATAAACGAGACGAGTGGCCGATCTTCTCACGTCAGACTATCCTCCTCGTATGAACATTGCATCTTTTTTAAATGTGCAACGGGACAAGTTGTCTTCCCCTACAATCACAAATGCCAGCATTTCAAGTTACTTATTGCCACCATAAGGTAATATTGAAACGCGTGTACGTTACATTCTTGACATTATGCTACCCCGATTCGTAAATATATCTATGAAAAATTTTTAAAAAACTCAACCAACTACTATGTCAATTTCAACGTGAACAAATTCGATCGCTAATTTATTCGATTCGAACGTAAACAGGCAATAGTCGATTTCTTTATAAATTCTAATGCTCGACACGAACCGTGTCTCACGAGCAATACATTTTTCGGTAATATTATTGAAAAATAATTTCAAATTTGAATAGCTTTAAATTTTGAAGCATTTTTAGTTTTTTTTTTTTTTTTTTGGAAATTCTCCAATTGTCAACAAATACCCCAACACATAAAAATAAAAACATTTTTTTTTCGCGTCCTAAAATGCCGGAATGTGTATATGTACGTCTTAATGTCAAAACGGACCCGCCCAATCAGCTGCAGCATCCTAAAATAATCCTCCGGACGAGACGATCTTTATCTGTAATTCGATTTACGGACATACAAAAATCGGAAAAAGATTAATTGTAAATATCGCGTGAAAGTGATTTCTCGATAAGTGTTCGTTTAGAAACGATGACGAATCGTTTTTGAGATTACGAGAATGATTTTCACGTAAGTAGAATACATCGTGCCGTATTCTATAGACGCCGATGAGACGAGTACGTAAAAGGCCTAAAAAATTAATTTCGACTCGTTGAAAAACTCACAAAGTTCGTCCCACAAAGTGCATTCGCAATTCGACTCTCGACACGGAAAATTACCGTTTTATACCACCTTGTTACAATATTATTATTATCATTGCGTCTCCTCGTGAACATTTCATACGAATTTGTTCGAATTTTCGAAACGTCTAAACAATTTCGTTTTCGGCACGTTATTTTTGCCGGAAAAACGATACGTAATTCGGAAAGTTACCGTACGAGCGTATAATTTTACATAATTATTTTCTATGAATATCACGACGTATAATATGGACGCCGTCACGCGAAAAGTGACTAAAATGATTTATGCACTCAAATAATTGGATTTTTTTTTTTTAAATCTAAAATTTAGTTTCCAGTCAAGCGTTTCCTAAAACTATTTACGATTTATAGTGAGTCATTCTTTCGTACACATATAAAGATGAAAGAAATGTTCACGCTTGTTCACTTATTACGCGTATGCGACGATATAATAAAGGTATAAAGAGCGTATCGAATGTCGTCGATCTACAATTTTTTTTATTTTAATTTTCAAAGTTAAATGTCAGTAACGTTTGTATGTTCTTTTAGACGGAGGGGGGATTAATCGTCTCGGAACAATGGATTTTTAACGATACCGGTGGTCATTGAGTCTAAATCAAAAGCACGGTTCGAGTGGCTTTTCTCCGTTATTATAATGCACCCCGACTTAGAAGACTCGGAACAAACAAGAATTTCGCCAAGTCAAAAATATAGTTTCACTTATTTACGGACGATGAGGTGGGGGCGGGGGCGGTAGGATGAGTAGAAGATTTTATCCGCGTTCTTCATAAACTCCGCATAAGCTCATTTGAACGAGGGTGGGAGAAAGGGGGGAGAAGAATAGTAAGGTACCTGAGCGTATCTGTCCACGACTCCTTCGCCCATGTTCAGATCGGTGCCGGCGGTACAGTTTCCACCCAACTGCTGTTGTGACTCGACAATGCGGAGCAGCTGGTTCGCCTTGTCCCGGTGGTGCTGCAGCAGCTTTCCGGTGTCGGTCAACAGCGACGGTGACGAATGACCGTCGTCGTCACCTCCGGGGTCGTGCAGGTAGTCGGCGGTGGTCGTGGCCAACGTCATGGCGCCGGCCGTTTTCGCGGACGGCGGTTGCATCGGCGGCGGCGGTATCGGCGCCGGCGGGTGCAGTTCGTTGTGCTGTTGTTGCGCCCACCTGGCCATCCGGGACCGGCCGTGCCGGACGGTGACGGCCATGGCGCTCAGCGCCCACATGGACACCACGGTGGCCACTAGCATGATGTCTGCGGCGTCTGCGGTGGCGACGGCGGTGGCGTGTTCCATCGGGCCCGCCGCCGGCCGCAGCTGGCCATCGTCGGCGGGACGGGACTAAAAATGATTTTTTTTTCCCCCGACGCAATTCGAAAAATCTGACCGACGGCTAGTGAATACCGGTTACCGCGGGGCGGTCATCGCGGGCTAACCGGCGATCATGTCGATACACTCCCGGAACCGCCGGTCACGGCATATTGTCGTTGTCGTTGTTATTTTTATTTCCGGTGCCGTTCACGTTCCCGGTCGAGTAGTCGGCGCGAAACACTCGTCGTCGTCCGACGAACAATCACCGGACCGCACGCGAATTTGATAGGCCCAATACGATACGGGACGTACGGACCCGGTTGACGCCGTTCAGCAACTAACCGCCAAACGTTCGCACGTCGGACCGCACGCGCGACGAGGGCGCCACGCACCACGGCCACGCGCGACACTCAACTGCCCTTGCCGTTGTCGTTTGCACCCCGTACACTCGCCAATGGGATAGCTTTTTTTTTTTTTTTTTTTTTAGAAAATTTACATTCACATTTGAAACTGAATGTTTTGTTTTTTCGGAAGATAGTTCCGAGTTGTGGTCCTCGTAATATCTCCCAGAAAATAACTGTTTAGAGTCCCAGCGCTTAGCGGGTTTTTCAGCTCAATAACACGCCTTTTGAAATTAACTCTTGCCAACGTGTTTTTTTTTTTTTCTTACTTTTTCTCAAAAATATAAATTGATCGTGTATGAAATAACTGTGCAAAATTAAATGTTTTACTGCAGATTTTAGATACGGATCATAGTTAAAAACATATTCGATTTTCATTATTACATATACTTTTTTTTTAACTATTTCTTTTTTTTGCCTGTAAACAACTTTTTGAATAGAATTCTCGCTGAATAGAATATTGTAGCTTTAATTCTAAAATACAATTTTGTTTATTTTAAGCATTAGAAAGGTAATTCTATCATTTTTCTAAGGGTTTTCGAAATAATTGGGAAAATTCCAAAATAAAATTTTGGATAAAACGCTAATATTTACGGTCCTCCACGGCGAAACCGTTTTCAATATTTTTAGTTTTTTAACACGATATTTTTTAAATTATTGTAAATGTCTAACAATAATCATAAATATAAGTTATATTTAAATAATAAGATAAGATTAAAAGTAGTCTGAAAGGATCGTGTGTCTTTAATCTTAATTTCCGTAATTTTATATACTATAAGAAGTCCGTGTTTAAAAGATTCATTTGAAAGTTTCTAAATAAAGTTAAAAGATAAATTATCATTGTATACGCAATCATTGTAAATACCCGCACAGCGTAGTAATTGCACTACAAAAAATAATAATGTTTTTTTTTTCATCTATGTTATCAAGGTAACCCGTAAATCAACAAAAATAATTAGATTTTTTTACTGAATAGTAAAGAGTAAACGTAATCCACCCCTACATTAAGTTGGGGTGGATTTCAGTAGCTCTAAACCTGTTCTAGGTAACATGGAACAGCTTTTAAAAGTTTCACGGCGATCGGATGAATGGTGTAATAATGCATAAAGGACAAACAGACATACATTCGTTTTTATATATAATATTATATGTAAATTGTTAGTTGATTAGCTAAAAAAATACTATAACAAATTGAAAAATAACGTGGTGTCCACACAAATTAGGGTTTTATACGAAATATTATTGTTAATTAATTACAACAAAAAAAATAAAAAAAATAAAAAATGGTAGGTAAATATTACGTCAACAATGAGTATGCCCGCGATATTTTCGTCCGTGGAAACGATCCTATCAATCCCTCCCTAAATGATCACCGGATAATTTATAAGTGGAAAAGTCTAATTCTCTAAGGTAATGATTGAAATGCTAAAAATGATTGTATGTATTATTTATATTCCTATTTAGATTTATTTTAAGGAAAACCGACACCGGGGGGACCTCTTAAATATCGCCGTAAACAATGTTTGAGCCGAAGTGTTTCAAACCACTGTGAAGCTTCTTACGAATAAAATAAAACAATACTCGTACAGTATTCAAGAATATTATACAAATAGTTTTTGCACCCGCAACGAAAATCCTATACCGGTCTGTTCCAAAAACAGATTGTGTACCTTTTGCTAATGTTTTAAAAGGGTACATTGTAAAAAAGGGGTGTTTCTGTTTTCGGTCAAAATATACCTTTCCCTTTTCGGCCGACACTTATAAAATATTTATAATCACACTATACAACATATATCATAATATCTACTTGACAAATTTATAACGAATTATTTCACCATATGTATGGTCTTCGAAGTGAACAAAAATTAATACGTACAAATTAGAAGTGGCCAAATAATAAAAAATCTTCGTGGTACCGAAAATGTTGGACGACAATGACAAAATGAAAATTAAATTGAAGACAATAAAAATGGTGAGATAAATCGTTATAAATTTGTAAAACAAAATATATCGTATGATTAAATAAAATAAAATTTTTCTTTATACGTAGGTACTCAATTCAGGTTCCCTGCTAATTATTCATCAGAAAAAATATTTGTTATTATTTTATTAATTTCAATTGACTTACAGTAAAATATTATACTTTTTTTTTCACAGTTGTATGTATGATATGTGATTATTTTTATGTTTAAAAATCACATTTTTCGATTATTTTGATAAATTTTCAACATATTCATAAGAATATAGTTTATAATTATGATTTTTAAGACGGGGCCGTTTCCAGATTTTGACTTTAGAGGTGGGGGGGGCGAAGTAATTAAATTTAATATTAATGATTGATAAAAAAAAAAAAAACTGCATGATGGCTGGACTAGTGTTATGGATAAGAAGTTAGGAATATAGGATGTTGAGTAATTAATGATGTGAATGTTGAGATGTTAATGTATATCTCTAATTAAGTAAATCTAAGCATTGCCAACTAAAAACGATTCTGAGCGAAACTCGGTTAATAGTATTGTTCAGAGGCATATTCGGGTGAATTTCATGGGGGGAGGGGTGGCAAAAAATGTTTACTCTTGAACATCATCGCTTTGGTCAACAAAAACTGAAAACATTTATGTCTGATGTCATCTTATCTTATATTAACTTAGAAGAATACAGGTACATTTTATAATTTAAATGGCAAATTAATTTTTTTCACATTAAATTAATAATAAATAAAATTATATTATTTACAACAACAATAATAATAATAATAATAATTAATAAAAGTTAGATGACCTAGTCCAAAATACTTTTATTTTAAACAGTGTTTTACAAGCGATTAGATCAACAATATTTACTGTATTAATGTTTTCATTTCAATGAATATTTAAAAGTGATAGGTCAGCTAGCCTCTGCTCAAAATTATTATTTTTTTATTACAGAGTACTACTTTTAATGAACCATGTTTAATTCTCATGTATATCTGTTTGGTCTAACAATTTATCCATAGAATAATCCGCAATGTCTTAAGAATAAAGATTACGTACAAAACTCGCAAAATTAAAATGTCTATAAATTGCTGAAAAATCTAACATCACCAAGAAAAATCAAATATGAATCCTCTTTCCAAATTTCAAGTCTCTACGAATATTTTCAACTGAATTACATGAAAAAACAAAATTGAAAATAAAAAAAGCATTATGCTCGTAAATTGTCCCGTTTTTCTTCATTTTTATCCTAGGTTTTCCTGATATTATGAAAACTACACGGAAAATCAAAAAATTACCTTCCTAAAGTTAATATGATAATATTTTCTTTCCAAAGTTGCAACACCTTACATAATGAAGCAAGATTTTTGATAGAAATTTTTGTATAAAAAAAAAAAAACCTATCATTGTCAATCCAATCCAGGTACATACTTCACTACACTCAGAAACTAAAATTTAATTCAATTTTTAATTTTGATTACAAAAATATATTATTTTATTATATCTTTGCAAATTGATTGTTCCCGCTTAGTTTTCCATAGATTTATCTTATCTTTAAGAGAATATTTATTGAAATTTGGAACCGGTTGGATTTTTACCTGTTTGCACTTAAGAATTATTGGTACATTTTTGCCGAAAAGGTGGCCGCCCGTAAATAAATAGGTATAAACTCGCTCATTTGGATTGGGTTTTTTTTTTTTGAAAATATGAAACATTTCTATTCTAAATTATTCGTTTATAAAGCTGAAAAAAAAAAAGCCGTGAAATATTCCTGAGCCTACGTCCGATGTATCTCATGTAAATCATCCGATGTATTCATATACGTAATGTGTCTATAACATATGTTATTGTACAACTACGCCTACGTACCACTCGTTATACGACTACTTCGTTATTCTCACGGTGATTCGGGAAGTATGAAATTTCGAAAAGGGCAATCCTAATCGTCTGATCCGACGAGCATCACGTACACAGGAACCCGCGCGTTGGCGTCGATGATTAGCGTTGTGTCCGAAACCTGAAAAGAGACACGTATACTCCGTCGTCGTTGAAATATACGAGTTTCGACTGTTATTCAGATAAAAAATTTGAATAATTTTCAAAAAAAGAGTTCGAAAGAATATTTACGAATAGTAAGTATTCGAATAATTTTTTTTGCGCGCGTGTTCCTCCCCCCCCCCTCCTGGAGAAACATTTCGTATTCAGTCATCGTCATTTTTCAAGCCTTTTCTAGCGCGGCGTATCTTTGAATATTATATTATTAAAAGGATTCGAATTACTGAAATATATATAACGAAGGCGTATGTGCTATTTACAATAACGGCATTATAATAACGTGTATACGCGTATCCAAGAAAAAAAAAAATAAAAATAAAAACCGGAGTCCCAACGACGTTTCGATAGATAAAGTATAATATTTTGATAAGTGTCTCGCGAAGTCGAAGACGAAATATTATGTTATTCTCGTTTAGAAAACTTTTTTCACTTTACAACGGAGAATAGGAAAAAAAAGTCAACAAAACTTACTAGCAACCTAGTAATACATACTTAAAAACGACCATCGTACTGACGATCTGCAGACTATATTTTTGACAACATGGTATTTTGTTTAGGGTCAAATGACAAAAAATATCGACAAAAAGTATTTTGGTGTACATAATATAAAAAAAAGTCTTAAAATTTGTACTGTCGCAGATATTATAAAATATAACTTCTCTTTTGTTATGATATATTTTTGTTATTTTTTTTTTTTTTTTTGTTTAGTAAATTTCTATCGCCGTATATAACTTCAGTTAATCTAAACGATAACTGATGTGCATTTAAATTGGAACAAATTTAAACCGTCGCTTATTCACACTCGTTCTATGTACTGATCATATCATATCTCGCATGCCATACAGCGGGGACAACAAAATTTATCATAAAATATTAATATTTTTCGTATTTTTTTTTTTCTGTAAACAACATTTCAAAACGGAGTCAATCAAATTTTGTCTTGTACGTGTAATGACTTGGTCATTTTCATTTTTCTTTGTAGTATTTTCTCAACAATTGAGAAATACCGGGAAAAATCTTCATAAAACGAAAATACGCAAAAACAGTTGTTGTTATTAACTATTATTTATTTTATTCTTGTGATTCAGTTTAATTTGATCATAGCTCTTTCTGTAGAGTGGCAAAATCGAAAAACATTTTTGCCAATTTAATTGTAGAAATGATAGTGTTTCTTGATTGTATAAAAATGTAGAATGGTATCAAAGTGAGAAGCTATATTTACACAAATTGGTTTAAATATGACTATCGATTGTTTTTCATCGAGCTGAAAAAATACTTAATTGAATATCACTGTGTTCAGTAAATGAAGTTCGGAAAGAATTATAAATAAACTTAAATTATTCACGAAAGATTTAAAAATGAGAACTTAGTACCTACATTTGATGCAACGTAATTATGCTTAAATGATAATTTTAGGTTCAATACAAAAAAAAAAACATAATATTAACATAGTTTACCTGACTTGTTGACTTAATAACTCAGTATTAATTTGTAGACGGTTTAAGTTTAAATCGCATAGCTATGTCAAACAAACAAACGGATACCATTCGCACGATGGGTGAGTCACTGTTGTAGGCGAGAAATAAGGAAGGTGGAGAGGAAATTTAATGTATATCTGTATGTAAATATTATTCGTTGTTAACGGAAAATGATTTTGAGAGAAGTTCGGTTATACATGTTTTAAAAGGCCATAATATTTACGATTTGATAATAATACATTTCAAAAATTTTCCGTTTTTCCAGGTTTCTCCCAATTATTAAAAAAATTAAAAACCGATTAGAAAATAAATCAAAAAAATGATTTCCTTTAGCACAACCCCAGTCACATTTCTTTTCTGAAAATCTGAGTTTAATTTCTGGTAGAAAAGTTGTTCACAGATAAAGGAACAAAAATTTCACAGTAAAACGAATAGGTTCCTCAAACCGCTTCAAATTTTAAAAACGAACAGTTAAGGTGGACGAGTAATCTGGCCAAAATTGTGACCTATAGGTGTGAGATTTTAAATGTAAGATAAAATGAAGTAATTTCATTATACTTTAAATACGAGAACTATTCATTGCAAACGATAAACGTTTCAGTGCGAAGCTCGGTTATTAATTGAATTGATTCTTCAACCGTTGCGTTTTGTCCCATTTACCTCGGTTTAACTTATTTAGAAAAGCGAAAGTAAAATATAAAATAATTAACCCCATAAATCACCGATTGGACGGATTTACGCTTCCAAAAACCACTTCTGAAAAGTCGATGACACAAACAAGATTTAGAAGTCATTGACGAATGTAAAAAAAAAAAAAAAATAATAATAATAATAATAATAAGTATTGTATGATACTTGATACTGATATTGATAAACGATAGTAAAAATAACGATGCACCGGTACCGGACGATATCCCACAAAACGCGGAAATGGAATCTGAAAATTCAAAGTATGTTATGTTCTGATCTTTATAATTGTATACGGTTCTCGTGAAACGATTAAAATTCCGAATTTTTCCCGATACATCGATTTCCGGAAACAATAATAAACTAATGGACACTATCCGTCCGGTGTATACTATTAATAGACCCTGCCGAAAATCGAACCATAAAGCCTGTAGTTTACCACACATGCCGGTTTTCCGGCGTGTGCGTTCTTAATTCCGTGTATAATGTTCATGGATTTAAATTAAAAGCCGATAGACCGGGGTAAATTCCCCCGAGTTTGTAAATAACCGTACGTGTATAATTTATCGGTACGGCAAATTTCCCGTTCCGAAACTCATTCGTTTCCGTTAAGCTGTGTACTGGAAGGTACACGAGACTCGCGCGCAGAATAGTGCGATTCGTTTACCACGCACGCGTACCGACCTGTTTGCACTGATCCGTCGGCACGATATGGTATTAAAAAATACATTTTCATATAGAACAACGGTGGATATTTAAATGAATTTGCATGTTCATAATATAGGCCGGCTATGAAACACAGCTACAATCTAGGTAGCTACCTAGATTGTACCAAAATGTTTTCCATCACCTAATGACTCTATGGTATTGTAACTTTTGCATATTACACCGTTTTCGATTTTTGGAACATATTTCAGGATTATGTATATTCTTAGAGGCTCTAAGACGTATCATTTTTAACATGATTTTAACTACCGAATGTATCTAAAGCGAGTCTAAATCTATTGGTTAGAATTTAGTGTGTGTGTTTTTTTTTTTTCTTGTGTTTTAAGCAATTTTTCGACCCAGATAACTCGATTCAATAGAATAATCACAAGGGACTTTTTTTGATTTTTCAAACAGTTAATAATTTGGTAATAATTGTTTGATAACTTGTTTTTTACCAAACGTCACATTGATCATTAATTTTACAAATATTAAATATTCCTGGACGTATTACGTAGGCACAATACGTATGGCTGGAAAATATAATTCCGGCGAGTAGTATAGATTTGTATGTTCTATCCCGCAGCAAAACGCCCCGTGAAACTGATAAATGTGGCATCTCGGTTTTGGCGAAATTCGAGACCCAGCGATATTGTCCGACTTACTTTTCCAGTAAAACGCTGCATAAAACCGAAAGATTTAGCCTCTCTGATTTGGCCGAAAAGTTGAGACCCAGCGTTTTGTTGCTAAAGTAAGTCAGACAATAACGCTGGGTCTCAAATTTCGCCAAAAAAAGACAGTCCAAATTTATCTTTTCTAAGCATTTCCCGCATTTTTCTGTGGGATAGAACGTACAAATCTATACCACTCTGGTAAATAATTATAGCTACCTTACCTTTTTTAAAATATTATACATAAATTGCATAAAATAATAAATCAACAACTATTAACTATATGTCAGTAGTAATTTAATTTGTTTTTTGTTTTTAAACATGTGATATATTTTAATAAAAAGGTGGCCCGTTTCGGTAAATAAATACTATTTTCAAAATTTCATCAAACTACGTTGTGACCATGTGTGAATAGGTTAAAATATAGCTTACAAAAACAAAGTAAAAGACTTATTCGGCTTCCCAAGGACGTTTAATTTCTAACACAAAAATTACAAAACTAATTTAATTGTTTTTTAACAAATACTTAAAATCAAGTTTTGTATACATCCCATAAAAAAAAAAAAAAAAAAAAAACATTTTGATATATCCTCTTTTAACATTAAATTTTTAAAATCAATACAATTTGAAATATTTACACCCAAAACATAAATATATTTTCTGAAAATTATATATTATAGTATAGCATCTAGCGAATTAAATTTACAGCAGCATACAGACATACCCCATTAAAATCAATATTTTATGCTAATAGATTGACTGTCTTTGATATTTTACAGACAATTTTTCAAACGATTGACTACCTTTGGAAATTATGTAAATAAAAGCATTAGTTTGGCAACCGCCAATGGAGTATTTTGATCTTTTTATAGATATCTATAAAGTTGCATCGTATGATTCATTTTTCACTTCTAAACAAAATATTATTTTAATCAATGTGTATAAACATATGCAATAATATGATGAAACAACCGAATAATAAAAGTTTTAATTAAAATTGTTCAGGTTAAAAACGAAGAAACGGATTAATTCTAACCGATAGAATAGTTACCTAAAAAATTTCAAATTCTTTTTTGATAGTATTTTTAGTAAAGTATGTTTCATAATAATTCGTAAAAACCACAAAACAAAAAAAAAATACGATATTTTTGAAATTACGGCACAAAGATTTCATTATTTAAAATTTGTATGACATTCTACCAAAAATATTGTTCCACCCGAAAAAAAAAACAACTAGATATCTTTTTTTTTAAATTTCAATCTTAATATTGACTAAGATGGTCGTGTTTTGACTTTCTTTGAAGGTATTTATAATTAAAAAAAACTGAAAAATACGTAGTGAAATAACAGGAAAATTTACTTTAAATTTATTTTTATAATATTATTCAGTTGAAAATATTCCTAGGGACTTGACAATTTTATAGAAAAGACATATTTGGTTTTTGTAAACGTGGTAATGTTATACAACTATTTGAGCCATTTTAGAGCTACGTATAACATTTTGTTTTACAAGATTTTTACATGATTTTTATTTAGTAGGTACATTGTGGATACAATTGTTGAATCAATCAGAAATTCTTCAAAAATTTGATAACATTTCAATAACAAGTCGTACTTAGTAATAAAAAGAACAAATTAAGTGTAATTTTGATATTTTAAATTCTGAGTGTAGCTAAGCATGTATAGTTACTTACAAATGGAAGATTAGCAAAAAAGTTAAATTTTTCATTTTTCGATAACACGCTTCAATAACAAAATCATTGCGAAATGCTTCATCATGTTTTGCTGGTTGGTATTTTTGTAATATCACTATCAAACTATTCGAATAATGTGTATTCAAAACTCATCAAGAGTTCTGAACGTACAATATTAAATAACAATATAGTTATTATATTTTTGCAATTGTGTTCATATCAAAAGTTTTTCAATACCATCTGTGCATACAATTTTTTTTGAATTGTTAAATTGAAAAAACTTGTCATTATAATGCGTCATAATTATTTTATATCCTACAAATCGATCCATTATCTAAATTGTCACACCCAAAGAATATTGAAGTAATAAACACCAATTATACATACAACACAATATCTTTACTGTCAACCTCGCTATCAGATTTTTACCACACTCCTCTATGATAACGGATAAAGTGGATAAATTTGATTAAAATTGTGTGTATTTCTAAAACATAAATTAGAAAATATTAGAATACCTATTATATCCCTCGTGTAATTTTTGTTCAGCAAGTTTGCTGACCTTGAATAGGTTTATCCACATAAAACCGAATAAAATAAAAAATCTTGATAATTTCAAATATCTAGAGCTATATAAATAGCTCAAACATTTTTTTAAAACGTCTAGAAAGGACTATACACGTATTCAGTCAAAATTCATTAAAAAAAAAAAAAATCAATCCACCTTATAGTAGAACGAATATATTTCTCGGTATGCTCAGAATATAAAAAGGAAACCCACGCATTAAACGTAGAACATATATATAATAGTATATATCCTATTGGGCTATTTGTAATAGTTAATTTCCTGTTTTTCCGAAAAACGTTTTCAGTTTTTTGTTTCCTAAGCATTTTTTTATTAGAACTGTGGAAAACCGTAAACTCAAACAAATTCACGGCGGACAACGACGTTCCCGGACGTCACAATAAACGGACATAATGCCGGGTATTATAAGTTTTTAGATTGCGAAATAAATTATGGACACACATAATTCGATCGGTAGTTTTTTATTTAAAAGACGTAATATTAAAAAAAAAAAAAATAAATAATGAAAAGTTTTACGTTATTTAATTACCAAAAAAGTAATAAATATGTAAATACGATAATAATATGCCGCCGAAATCACACGGCGGACGGACGAATGAACTACGTTTATAATAAAACGAAAATTGAGCGCTGCCGTCGGTGGCCGAGATCTCCTTGATCGAGAACCTTGGTCGATCGACCCTCTCCTAGGGCATAATATGTTATACATTGCCAATAGGAACAAATAAATGGAAGAACTGGAAGGCGGATGAGAGGGTTTTGATTTTTTTTTTTTGAATAGTGTGGTCAGCAGAGACGTGGCGAACGGCCATGGTTTTCAGAAGCGGCCGTTTCTGAATGTTATAAGCTGGGTGGTTGGTGTTTTGTGGTAATTTGAATGATACGGAGACCCACGCTGCCAGACGTATGTGTAACAATAATTTAAACGCCAATAGGTGTTGTACAACATTCCGTATTGGGATGATTGTAAAAAATTGACTTGCTTCTGAATTCAGTTAAATAATTTCGTGACGTCAATGAGTGCGGTTATCGATTGAGTAATTTAAGACGGTGTTTAATATAATTAATATTGTCATTATAAATATTGTTAAATATAATTAATATTGTTATTATAAATATTATTAATATTGTTATGCAATACACGAGTATTACAATTTTTTTTTTTCTTATGAGAGCGCGTTTCACACATTTATCTGAAAACGAAAATGTAAAATTCGATTTTCTGAGTGAATCGAAATACGCACGTTATGGTTGTGTAACTGGACCATTTGTTCGATGTGTACAGTGTTTGGACTATTATAAACATGCACGCATTGTGCGTGTTGTAAATAAATTATTGACCCTTACAATCGCCCAATCTTTACGATTACGTGTATACATATTTTAATATGGTTAACACTTATCTTTGTCATTTAAACAGCTTGAAGGCCGTCGCATGGATCTAAGGAGTGATTATTTGTAAATTTGGAGTAAATTTACACTTATTTTCAAGGGCCAAATTATACATTGTGCCGTCTGGTTTTAGTATCTGTCCTGTATCCTATTTTTATGTCTTCGTTCGCTCGATCTAACCACCGTTTCCGGAATTCTTCCTTGAGACGTCTATCGGTTGGTTTATCGAATCATTTAAAATAGATGTCTTCTCTCAGCATCCATACACGAAACACGATCATTCTAGCCACAAGGAGTTTTAAAATCACTTTATACATTTCGTTTCGTAAAAACAATGCATAAAATCAATGGATTTCCCTTTTCGTATTCTACAGTAGGTTTTTTTTATGACTGGTGGATACGTTTTACTCAGCACATTTTTCCCGAAGAAGTGTAATTTCACCTCATTTCCTTGAGTTGCGAACACACATGGCTATAGATTTCAGGAAATATATTACAAAAAGATTATGATTTAAATGTCTGAAATGAATAATATAATTATACTTAATATACATATAAAGATACTTAGTCAATTTTAATAGTTTTTACATATTATTCAAACGAGATTTATTGGAAACTGGTAAGTTTGAATCATTGGTCTTGTATAGATACTAATAGATTTTTGTTTTGATTTCGGAAATAGAAACAAATATAAACAATATATAAAATGCATCGACTGGCAGATTATTCAATATTTCAAGAATTTCGAGTTTTATTTCAGTTTTGAAAGATGAAAATTAGTTAACAAATACGAAACAGCCGAATTGTTCAAATTTAATTTGCCGTTAAACAATATTCGTACAAAATATTGATTTATAAATCCATAATTTGATTTGTTTTCATCTCAAATGTGTTGCATGTTTTTTATTTTCACTGCTATTGCAAATCGTTGAGAAATCTTTCGAATTAGTTGCGAAAATATTGACACCGATTTGAAAACGATCGAATGTATTTGAAATGCCGCCAGGTGAATTTGACACCCATAAGGATTGTTTTTAGAGTGGCCATAATAAATATGTTTCATATTTTTTTTTTATTGATTTTTTTTTTCTAAACAAATTGATTGCAACCATTTGAAAAATTTCTAAATGTGCGCTAATTTAATGTATAGCATATAAAATGATGTAACGCGATTATCGAATCACTCATCCGTTATGTATGGTAGATCAGCATATTACTTATCAAATAATAAACGCTTTTCAGTTGTTGGCTGTAAACATATTTTAGATTCCGAGCATAGCGAAGAAGCTATTGGTTTTACAATCCTGTTTATTTTTTTTTCTTTGTTCTTTATTCTAGCATGCGGACACGTTTGTTCTAAGTAAACTTGTTCCTACTTTTATGTTAAGCAACTTTTCTGATTGCTTAAGTTGTCTAGATTGTACTTTAAAAATAAAAATTTTTGACTTTTGGCGCTATTTTTAAATAAAAGCACATAAGAAGGGGAAAAAACATAGGAAAACGTACAATTTCACGATTTCTTTTTTATAAAAAAAAAACGGACGACGTTTAATACAAGAAAAAAATGATTTAATCGAAAAATTACAGAATACCTTTTTTTTTGTCTTTTCGATTTATTTTCATTTGGTATCATTGCCAAATCTTTAGAGCCAAATTTGAGCTTTTATGGAATTTTAATTTTTAGGAGTTTTTTGTTGAAATTCGGTTATCAATACACATGGAGATTTTTAAACTTGGAAAAAATACTTATATTGCACTTACCTAGACGTGATAACATTTTCAAAATCATCCGATAAAGTTTTCCCTTTTTTTAATTTTCTTTTTTTTTTTACATTTAAGACCACTTGTATCCTAGAAAACATCCTTCGATGTATAAGTGTAGTACCTATTCTGAAAGTCATTTGTATTTACTTGATAAATATATAGGTAATTTTTTGATTTTCGAAACGTTATTTAATTAAGAACAATTTACAGGGGAAAAAATATTATTTTTACACGATTTCATTATTTGAAATTAGTACCTATTACGTTGTCTAACACAAATATAGCTTCAATTGAAAAACGACAAATGACTCTTTTTATTTAATTTTTAATCTTGTTTTTAATGATGCAGGTCGTTTTTTAATTGTCTAATTAGTTTTCATAATAATCGGGAAAAAACTTAGGTAGGTTAAGTTAAAACAAATTATGGCACTTCAGATTATGTATTATGTATATTACTGAACTTCACTCAGAATCGTCTTTCTGCAGCGAAGATTTATCGTTGCTTACAGATATAAATTAAATAACATTATATATCTTACCTTCCCAATTTTTTTCTTATAACAGTTGCTGCAGCTGTCTCCAGTATCAGCTCTTTTTTATTTTGAACATAACTCATAATAGTTAATAATAATCGCTTATAACTAAGTGTGTGTGACGCTGGCAACCGTGTACCTACGAACTGACTCCAACTAGTAAGTCATTGCGGCGCCGTTCCTTACCAGATACAATCGGCCACCCAAAATTTAATGTCATCCGCATGGTACATTTAAATATTCGAATATTTTTTAATCAAACGAGGTATAAATATTTTCACTATAAATATTCAAACCGTTTGATACTTATATATTAAGAAAATCGTTGGAACGTTATGATTTCACATGCTACGCAGTAGAGTATTATAAACATATTTTTAATAATATGTATTCATCGGGTTCAATACTGCTCATACTGCTCGCGGGTAGAGTAATAAAAGAAAACGAAATCGAAAATAATTAAATCGTCAATACCGCAAACTGTACCGTCATGAATATGTTTTTTGCCCCTATTATTACAAAAACAACATGGAAAATCAAAAAACAACTTTTACTGACACTGAAAAGTCCATATTTTTTTTTTTTCAGAAAATGATTTACTTGAGTTGCGGTAAAAAGTAAAAAAAAAAAAAGTTATAAATGACATTGTAAAGCTGTAAATTTAATTTTTTCGGTTTTTCCCAATTATTATAATACTCACATCAGATTATATATTTTTTAATATGATACTACGATCAGTTCGAGGGTTTCTTTTTTATATTTGGAGCATATCGGGAAATATTTAGGTTTTACTATAACAGCAAGTGTGTCACTAAATTTTCGATTAATACGTGCATTTTCCCCACTGTACGTAATACTATTTTTCAAACATTTTTACACTATTTATTTAGCTCTAGTTATTTGTAATTTTCGAGGTTTTTAGTTGATTTTACGTAGATAAACTTGTTTGGTCTCAGCAAAACAACTAGGTAAATATAACACGAGTGTAATTTATACACAAACATATTATATTATTATTTTATCAGTTATCACAGAGGAGTATGACAAAAGTCTAATTATATAACTGACAATACAAATATTGTGTCATAAGTACAACTATACTCAATTATATCAATGTCATTGGAAGGTGAAAATTTAGATGATGGACAGATCTGGACGATTTAAAATAATTAATAAATGTGTATATATATATATATATATATATATATATATTNTAATATTACAAAAATTCAAACCAGCATAACATAATGAATCATTTTTCAATGTTTTTGTTAGTACTCGTAACAAGCGCGTTATCGAAAAATGAAAAGTTAAACTTTTTTCCTAATCTTCCAGTTGTAAGTAACTTTAATAATTCATCGAAATAATATTTTTCACGTGCGCATATTATATCATTCATAATATAACTATGGATTTTTACCTTAAATAATAACAGGGAGAATACAAGGTGTATCCCAGAGCTATTATACAATGTAAACAAAAACAACATCTTTTTGAATTTAATATGTATTTGAATAGAATATCAAGTAACACTTCTGAAGTCAAAGGTAATATTACATGTACGAAACCAATCGACGATTCTGACAATGTAAGTATGTTTATACATGGTTTTTATTAAAATTGAATTGTGCCGTATTGCAAATAATGCCTAAGTGATAGTTTAACTGTTCGTAAACTATAATATTTATGTGAACATTCATCATAATAGCTTGAAAAATAAAAAACTATTGAAAATGTATGTTTTAAAATATCCACGGAAAAGTGTATAATTTAAAAAAAAAAAATAATTTTTTCGTTGAATTTAAGAAGGTAAAGAAAAAATGTAGAAAATAAATAACCGACTAACTTCTTTATCAAATGAAAAAACCCGACTAACGAACTTACTCAAACCACTTGGTCAAAATCAAATATACGAAAAAATGAATAATATTAATAAAAATAATTTAATATTATTTTGAATTTTATTAAACAAAACAGCAAATTATTGAAATCGTACCCATAAAAAAATAAACCTAATAATATATTAATAATTATAAGAAACCGTTGGACGATTAACCAGATGTAAGTTTAAACATTCATTTAACATGATGTATTAAAAATAATTTCAGTTAAATTTAATCTAGGGATCAGAAATTTTCAATCTGGAAAATAACTAAAAATATTGGTACTCCATACATACGTAACTAGGTATTACAATTATAATCGCAAAATGTTATTAATTTTTAATTTGAATTCACTAGGCGACTATCATATCAGTTAGTATTAAACCGGACCTACCTCCGTCTGTAACTTTGAATATCGTGATTATAATTTTTATTAATCAGACGATTAGACGTAATATTACGAATTGTTATTTATTGGCTTAAATAATATTAAATTATACGTTTAAAATGAAATATATATATATGTGTAAATTTGTTTATAGATAGTTATAATCAATGCTGTCAAAGATTCCATCGGTGGTTGGAAAGACAATGCTTTAATTTTAAAAATTTCCAAAGCATGTTCATCGTTTGAGAAAGTATTTGGAAACTTGAGAACCACATTAAACCTAACAACAAAAAATAATAATGTTAATCGGAATTGTCCATATCCTGCAGTAAATATAATTCGCGTATTGTTATACTTTAATATATAATATTCAACAAATATATTTACGTTTAGGGTGTATATGTATCAAATGGTTTTGATTTTACAAGTTTCATCGCAAATGCGAATTTACCAAAACAATTTTTTTACGGAGTTTACAAAGCTCGATTTGAAATGTTCGATAAAAAAAACAATCAAATTGGTTGTGTAATTTTCGTCATAGAATTTAAACGTCCCTGGGAAACCGAATAAGTCTATGTGTTGATTTTATACGTTTTATTATTGTTGCTTATTGACATAATACAAAATTTACAACACATTTCTACGACACTGGAAATTATATTGATTTATCGAACTTTTCACCTTTTATATTATACATATATCACATGTATAAAAAATAAATACAAATAAAATTACTACAGATTTTTAGTTAATAATTGTATGATTATAGAAACGTGAGGTAAGTGTAATCATTTACCAAAATTGTATTTTCCAACTATACGTGTGTGACACATAATATAATACATTGAGTAATGTAAAATAAACGATCGAGGTGACATAAGGTATATTTAATAGTTTTGTCACAAATAATATCTCTTAAAAAAGTATTGCTACCTAAGTTCGATACACGTTAATGCACCATACTAAACGCGCGTGTATGTCAATTAAAGCTCTAGTGGCGGTAAGGCACTATGCTCCGAATCTAAAAGGAATAAAGGTAAACTAAAAAATAAAATAATAAAAAATAAAAAAGTTGTACGGGCGACTCCGGGCGGGACTGTCCAGCCAGTATTAAAGTAAAAAGTGACATCGTTTACAATGAAGTTTTTTGACGGGAACCGTCAGTATCCAATAGTGAAGGTATAAACAATGGTCCATAACATAACTTGTGAGCATTGTAAAAGGAATTTTTTGAACATGAATAGGTATAGTACGTACATCCCGACATTAAATTACGCTCATTAAATTTAAGCATACTCACGATACACAACATTGAATATACTCTCGAACATTTTCCATGCGCATCCTCAGTGATTTTTAAATTATACTTTACAGCACGATTTTTTTATTTTTTTGTGCCATTTTTTAATTTCATTTTGTTAAAATATACCTGATATTAATAGTATAGCTATCATTCGAGTAACAGTACGAAACGACCGAACATGACTAAGATGTTCAATTATTTTAATTTTACTGTGTTGTCCTGCAAAATAGTTTTTTCAGTCGTGCTACGGGTCTCGTAATCTTGTTTCTAGTCAGCCACTACCATAGATATGTATACATTCACTATACTATATGTATGTTATATTGTAGAATAAAAAATACATATCGATGGCGACAGTGGCGTGCCCGGAGATTTTCAAGAGGGGATGTAACAAATAAAAACCGTGAAAAATGAGTAAATCGTCTTCTCTACCCAACTCGTTTATGAGAATTGGTCATTTAAAAGCAGGATCCTAAAAAAATAAAAAAAAAAATTAGACATTTACTAGTGAATATCGACATTCACATCAGGACTTTGGTCAATGTTACCATACACAACACGGTTTTGGTTAATGTTGTCATACGTCATTGTATGTACATTGTACATAAAGTATACAAGTGTTTAATTTAATCAAATTATTATTATTATTATCATACAAAAATAATTACTTATTAATTGTTTTATTACTTATCGCAACATGGCCAACTGTCATGATATTTTCCAGCGAAAGTTGCCCGGAAGAAACTTTTTTTTTAAATAAAATATTTATAAAATTATTAATAAGTTTGTAAATCATCTAGACTTTTGAATAATGTATAGTTTATAAGTAGTAAAATGTTTAAATTGATAATAACTTTTTCATAATTGTAAACAATAACTTTAATAACAAAAATGTTGTAAATCAATATCCGCATTACTAACATTCACCAAAATCGTTTTATTAATTTCGACATTCACTAGTGAATGTTTACAAATAGTACAAATTTAATCGATATGCCAACATTTACCAATGACTAGTGTGTATTGACATTAACCGGTGACTGTCAGCATTCACCAACTGCGAAAACTCACAGTAACATATGTACTAAACACTATAATATTATGCATAATGTCTTGTGTCTAGTCGGTGACCGGCCATATCTCCGACAACACATCTCCAGTTAAGAACAACTTTAATTTTTTTATCAGGCATTTCTAAATAAAAGACAATTCTTATAAAGCTATTAACCGGGAAAAAAATATTATTTTTACACGATTTAATTATTTGAAATTAGTACCTACCACGTTGTCTAGCACAAATATGGCTTCAATTGAAAAACGACAAGTGACTCTTTTTATTGAATTTTTAATCGTGTTTTTAATGATGCAGGTCGTTTTTTAATTTTTCAATTATTTAAAAAAAAAAAAAAAAAACGTTATAAAACCGTGATGCGGTAGACTATATACGGTACACATTTTACGGTGAACGATTTACGGTGAACGGTAGACGGTGTACGGTACTGAACAACGCGGCCGAACGTAGGTAGTAAAAACGGTCGTAGCTACGTCGGTGGCCTGTGTTTAGCTTATCGCACGAACAGCTGGACAGATGCGACTGAACATACCGGCCACCTTGAAGAGACGAATCTTCAACTTTTCAAGGGTAATGGACAGAGCTTAACAACCGGACACGAGTAAGGGATTTGCCCAAGGCCGTCTTTACCGTTGCTACTCGGACGACTCCATCGGTGCTAGAGTGCACCTGAACTACTCGTGCAGTAATCCACGTTAGTGGTGGGGAAGGTTCTTTAATTACAACGAGATCATTAATTTTCAAGTTGTCACTTTGATGTGTCCATTTGGGATGTTCTTGCAGTGTATTTAAGTATTCTTTGTTCCAACGCGATCAGAAGTGTTGCTGGATCTGTTGAATAAATGCCCATCGGTTACGCGGGCTTATGGAAGCACTAGGGTTGGTAGGTTCTTGAGGTGACGGCAAGGTGACGAGTGGTCCCATAGTAAGAAAATGACCAGCGGTGAGAGTTCTGAAGTCGTTTGGGTCAGATGACATGGCACTTAACGGTCTGGAGTTGAGCGTGGCTGCCACCTGATGAAGGACAGTATTTAGCTCCTCGTATGTGAGTACACGGTTGGAGATGATTCTGTGGAGCAAGGTCTTAGCAGATTTAACCACTGCCTCCCAGATACCACCCATATGAGGGGCTGCAGGTGGGTTGCCATTGAATTTGATGGTCGCTTAGGTTATGGATAAATTTTGTCTCTCGGGTCAGATCGTAGATTTGTTTCAGATATCGCTGGGCCCCGACGAAATTAGTGCCACAGTCACTGAATATGTCTGTACATTTGCCCCTTCTGCAAACAAACCGGTTGAACGCGGCAATAAACATCGGAGTGGATAGGTCGGACACTAGCTCGATGTGAACAGCTGTTGTCACCAAGCAAACGAATATACAAATGTAGGCCTTGGTAATCTTGATATTTTTCAGCATTGTAGCATTAACTTCGAACGGTCCCGCGAAGTCCACACCTGCCCTACAAATTGGTTTAACCTCTGTTACTCGATGCCGTGGTAAATTTCCCATAATTGGCTGTATAAACCGAGGTTTGGCACGGAAACACCGTATACATCTATGTAGTCTTTTCTTGACGATACTGCGAGCTGAAATTATCCAGTACTCTTGACATAAAAGGTTTAGCAACGGTTGGGGTCCAGGATGCCCGTGGGTACGGTGCGCGTGATCAATTAGCAGCATGGTCAAACGTGCGGACTTTGGTAGTAGCAGGAGGTGTTTTTCTGCGTACGGAACATAAGCATGAGCTAAACGTCCTCCAACCCTGATTAACCCTTGATCGCCCAGAAATGGGGACAATTTTCGAGGCCGCATGGAGCAGGTTATATGGTTTCTCAGCTTGCATATATCTTCTTCAAAGAATATTTGCTGCGTCCAACACACCTGAGCTAACAACGCTCTATTAGTTTCTTCGGTAGTCGGTATAGGGTTATGGTATTTGGTTTTATGTAAAAGGTAATCTTTTACTCGTAACCAATATGCCGTAATTCTTAAGATTTTTGGGAAATTTTCTGATTGATACAGTATCTGACATTCCTCGGCTTTGACCCGAGTCTTCAGAGTGATCAGTTTCTTTTCTTGTTTCTCATGTTGATGATCTTTTGGTGTCATTATTCCCTCGGTCGGCCAAGTGTCCATCGGTTGTCGAAGGAATTCCGGGCCTTTCCACCAAAGTTCGTGGTTAGATAGTGCACTGGGGGATAAATCCGCACAATCCGCTGGATTTAGCTCGGATGGTACATAGCGCCAAATGTCCACGTTAGTCGATTGCTGTGTTCTTGCTACTCTGTTAGCAACAAACGTCTTTAATTTAGCCGTGGGTAATTTGATCCAAGCTAAGGTTATGGTAGAGTCGGTCCATGCGGTTACATTTCTAAACTCGAGCGTCAAATTTGCTTGAATGAACGACAACAATCGTGCTAGAAGACCAGAACCGCATAACTCTTACCTTGGTATGGATACTTTTGAGGCCGGTACTACCCTTGATTTGCCCATTAACAGGTGTCAATACGATTATTCGTTCGTTATTCTGATAAGTAGATACACCGCAACAGCATAAGCTACTTCCGAACTGTCACTAAACCCATGAAGTTCGTACGTGGCGCGAGGGTGGGTGACATGCTGGTTGATTCGTAAAGTCGCTAGCACCGGTAACTCCTGGTGATATTTTAGCCACCCAGATGCTGCATCTTCGGGTAGCGGTTCGTCCCAGCTCACTTCCATTAGCCAAAGGTACTTCATTAGCCTTTTGAGATCGGTCGTAACTGGGGACAGTAGACCAAGTGGATCGTAAATCCTCGCAACCTCTGACAGCATAGCCCGTTTACTGTATTTCACTGGATTAGGCCAATTATGGTAACTGAGTGAGTCGTTCTTTGGGTCCCAGTTTAGTCCAAGGACTTTTGTATACTCCGACCCATGCTCAGCAAATGTAACGGGTTGCGTTTGTCGGTGTTTTGGTGGTACCTGTAGCAGCAGAAAATCAGAATTACTGCACCACTTACGTAGTTCAAATTTACCCTTGGCAAAAACTTTTATTAGTTTTCCCTGAAGCTCCATAGCCGCGTCTTCGTTTTCGGCACCTGTGAATACGTCGTCGACGTACAAATCGCGTAATACAATATTTCGTTCTCTACTAATTTCTGCAAGATTCGAATGGAAAGGAACGGAGACGATTTTTGCCCAAACATTAAAGTGTTCATTTGATATTCTTCCACGGGTTCATCCAAAGAAAAGCGATATAACAAACGTTGGTAAGATTGATGTTTTTCGGTGACGACCACTTGGCGGAACATTTGTTTCATGTCCGCTGTAAAGACCACAGTGTGTAACCGAAAACGTAGCAGAATGGCTGGTAAGTCCTGTTGTAGCTTTTTACTGCAGAAGAGCTTATCGTTTAATGAACACCCTGAGGACGTCTTTGCGGATGCATCGAATACTATCCTCATTTTCGTGGTGGTACTCTCCGGTCTCAAAACAGCATAATAAGGGATATAATAGGCATTATCCTCGTTATCCGATTTTACGATCACTCTGGACATGTGGCCCGAATCCAGATAATCGTTCAGGGCATTATTATAATCCCTGTGAAGTTCAGATGATTTTTTAATCGGCTTTCAAATTGGCGTAGGCGATTCAAACCCACATCTTTGGATTTCCCCAGCAACGATGGATATTGTGAAAACGTTAAATGCACAACATATCTTCCGTCCGGTTAGCGCGTGGTACCTGAACGGTATATTTCTTCGCATTCCAAATCTCCAGTGTTACTTTTAACGGCGGTTGGAATATCCTCGATTTCTAAAAAACGCTGTAGGGTTCGATTGATTGAATCTGTGGTTGTGCATAGTGTTAAGATTTGGTGTTCCGGTGCAGTTAACATTTTTTCCATGAGGACTACAGTTTTTGGCCATACAAAAACTGTAGACAAAGCTATTGGCTGAACAACTTCACCCTCTTTTTTATCTCCTAATAAGAGGTATGGAAAAACATCTGCACCGAGTAACAAATCGATCGGTAACGCTTGAGCATACTCCGGGTCGGCTAACTTCAAACCATCCGTGTGAGACCACACTTTTTCCCATACACGTTGCGATGGAACAGAACGGGTAATACGCTGTAAGATTAGAACATCAACGTTAAAGTGTAGGCTGTCGCAACCAACCGGTCGTACGTTCACGTTAGCGCTTCCTCTCACCATTGGGACTTGAGTGCCAGATAAAGCCTGCACGGTTATGTTACACTTCCCTCGAGTTAAACCCAAATTGTTTACACATCGTTCTGTTATGAAACTGCTTTGGCTCGTGCTGTCCAGCAGAGCTCTTACTTTAATGGTCTCTCCACTCTGACTTTGAACGATTACTGCAGCGGTCGCCAACAAAACAGACGTCCAAAGAACTTTAGTCTCAGATGCCGCAACAGTAACATGAACGGAGCTAACTGTTTCTACAATTTCAGGGAGATGGAGTAAGGAATGGTGTCTTCCGTTGCATTCAGAACATTTCCTTTAGTTTTTACATTCACTAGCCCTGTGTGCACTGAAGCAGTTGAAGCATCGCTTCAAGTCCTTAATAATTTGATGGCGTTCGGTCGGCGTTTTCTCCTTGAACTGTGGGCAATGTATAAGCAAATGTTCCGGTTGACTTTTGCACACTTGACAAGTAAATGACTTTTTCTCCGACTGTTCTGACGTGGATTTTCCTGCTTGATGACTACTGAACAAGGTGGTCGTCTTCCCTGGCTTATAACCTCTGAACGTCGGCTTAATGATTTCTTGACTAACGGTTGCAGATTTACAATACTTGGTCAAAAAAGTAACGAAATCCGCTACAGTGGGACCTTCAGTTGTATCCACCAACAATTCCCATTGTGATCGAAGATGTTGGTCGAGTTTCTTTTGAAATAAATGTAAGAGAATCGGGTCCCATTGGTCCACTGCGTATAATAGGTTGGATAGCGCACCGATGGACTCGATAATTGTCTTCAGAAGTTTTCTGATAGAACCTCCATCACCAATAAATGCTTTTGGAGCCTTATACAATTCTTCCATATGATTACCAGCTAGGACACGACGATTTGAATATCGCGCTGTTAATTGTGATAAAGCGAGCTCGTAATTACTCTCAGTTAGCATTAAATTACCTATCAAGCTCAGGGGCTCTCCAGCCAAATACGATTTTAAATAGCCAAATTTTAAAATCGCCGACATAAGTGATTCACCAACCAATTTGTCAAACATGTTCCGAAAACTCATATAATCTTTTCGGTCACCATTAAACTTTGGTACGGTTAATTTTTCGACTGGATAATAACTATTAGGCGTAACTGGAGAGTCTCTTTCCCTAAACGTTTTATCCATTAACGTATCCTCTGTGGCTTCCGGTAGATATTCATCGGCTAAGATTTTACACCCTATATAATTCTCCTCGAAATTCATTCATAGTTGTTCTTCGGCAACGGCATCTGTCAAAGGTGGTCCTTTGCATTGTTGTTTTATAATAATCGTTAATTGTGTTTCAAAATCAGTCGCTACATTTTCAAGTGTCGCGTACATAATTTTAAATTTGGTTTTCGCAGTTTTGTTTGTGGGTTCTTTTTCCAATGCCGACCCTGCGCCATATACGCGTTGCACCTTACACTGCAAACCAACTATACGTTATTTTGCCTCTTCGTAAACAGCCATGGTTGATACAATTGCTATAATGGTCTTCTTTTTTTTTTCTTTTTTTTTTTTATTAACGTATTAATAGGTGATACGCTACCTTGACCTACTTTTGCGATAAGTCTGTACGGACGGTATTCAGCTGTAATTATAATTATAATTGTTATTCGTTACACGGCGGTATGATTTGCGAACCGGTTTGTCTTCACGGCGGCGCTACGGCATCGACGACGGTCTTATTATCACTACGCTAAGCTACTAAACTACAAAGTTCAATTGATAATTTTATTGCACAGTGGTTTTTAACCTTATAATAATAAGTCATATGCAAATCCTAACGCACTTATTGGTGCTTACGTAATAACCACAACAAGTCTAAGTTATGTGTAAATGTGGTACCTATGTAACAACTAACATCGGTGCAAATTCGAATCGCATAGAACTATAAAATATAATCCGGCCCGAAGGACCAAAATGATGTATAATTCGGTGAAGTGGACTGTATAAACTATAATGTATTATTACGGTAAGTTATTAGGTGGGCACTTACGGTGGAAATTAAGCGAACACGATCTATTATTCTGTAATGCCGGAAAAAAACGGCGTACTATTAAAAATGTAAACGAAATATATACAAGTAACAAATATAGGGGGCACAAAAGGTGCTGGCCAGCTAGTGGGTAAAATGACTTAAGAATATAAATAAATTAAGTAACAAAACAAAAATAAAACGTTATAAAACCGTGGTGGCGACAGCACGCAACCCCGGAACGGTTAACGGTAGACGGTGGTCTGTATATGGTTGACGGTTGACGGTGAACGGGAGACGATGTACGGTACACAATTTACGGTGAACGATTTACGGTGAACAGTAGACGGTGTACGGTACTGAACAACGCGCGCCGAACGTAGGTAGTAAAAACGGCCGTAGCTACGTCGGTGGCTTGAGTTTAGCTTATCGCGCGAACAGCAGATGAGACGGAACAGTCGGCAATCACCGACTGCGCACATTCACGGTAACATATGTACTAAACACTATCATATTATGCATAATGTCTTGTGTCTAGTCGGTGACCGGCCATATCTCCGACAACACATCTCCAGTTAAGAACAACTTTAATTTTTTTATCAGGCGTTTCTAAATAAAAGGCATTTCTTATAAAGCAATTAACCGGGAAAAAAATATTATTTTTACACGATTAAATTGTTTGAAATTAGTACCTATCACGTTGTCTAGCACAAATATGGCTTCAATTGAAAAACGACAAGCGAATCTTTTTATTGAATTTTTAATCTTGTTTTTAATGATGCAGGTCGTTTTTTAATTGTCTAATTAGTTTTCATAATAATCGGGAAAAAACTTAGGTATGTTAAGTTAAAACAAATTATGACACTTCAGATTATGTATTATGTATATTACTGAACTTCGCTCAGAATCGTCTTTCTGCAGCGAAGATTTATCGTTGCTTACATATATAAATTAAATAACATTATATATCTTATCTTCCTAATTTTTTTCATATAACAGTTGCCGCAGCTGTCTTCAGTATCTTCAGCTCTTTTTTATTTTGAACATAACTCATAATAGTTAATAATAATCGCTTATAGCTAAATGTGTGTGACGCTGGCAACCGTGTACCTACGCACTAACTCCAACTAGTAAGTCATTGCAGCGCCGTTCCTTACCAGATACAATCGGCCACCCAAAATTTAATGTCATCCGCATGTGTACATTTAAATAATCGAATATTTTTTAATCAAACGAGGTATAAATATTTTCACTATAAATATTCAAACTGTTTGATACGTATATATTAAGAAAGTCGTTGGAACGTTATGATTTCACATGCTACGCAGTAGAGTATTATGAACATATTTTTAATAATATGCATTCATCGGGTTCAATACTACTCATACTGCTCGCGGGTATTGTAAAAAAAGAAAACGAAATCGAAAATAATTAAATCGTCAATACCGCAAACTGTACGGTCATGAATATGCTTTTTGCCACTATTATTACAAAAACAACATGGAAAATTAAAAAACAACTTTTACTAACACTGAGAAGTCAATATTTTTTTTTTTTTCAGAAAATGATTTACTTGAGTTGCGGTAAAAAGTAAAAATAAAAAAATGTTAAAAAATGACATAGTAAAGCCGTAAATTTAATGTTTTCGGTTTTTCCCAATTATTATAATACTCACATCAGATTATATATTTTTTAATGTGATACTACGATCAGTTCGAGGGTTTCTTTTTTATATTCGGAGCATATCGGGAAATATATAAGTTTTACTATAACAGAAAGTGTTTCACTAAATTTTCGATAAATACGTGCATTTTCCCCACTGTACGTAATACTATTTTTCAAACATTTTTACACTATTTATATAGCTCTAGTTATTTGTAATTTTTGAGGCTTTTAGTTGATTTTACGTAGATAAACATGTTATTTATACACAAACTTATTATGTTATTATATTTATCAGTTATCACAGAGGAGTATGACAAAAGTCTAATTGTATAACTGACAATACAAATATTGTGTCATAGGTACAACTATACATTATTATTTCAATGTCATTCGGAGGTGAAAATTTAGATGATAGACAGATCTGGACGATTTAAAATAATTAATATATGTATATATATGTATAATAATAACAAGTGTTTTCAATATAAAAAGTCAAAAACTATTATACACACAGATGTTATTGAAAAACTTTTTGATATGAACACAATTACATAAATATATGGCCAACTACTAATATAATAACTATATTGTTATTCTAGTGTGTACGTGTTGAGCTATAGGCGTGTGTATCCAACATATTATTCGAATAGTTTGATAATAATATTACAAAAATTCAAACCAGCATAACATAATGAATCATTTTTCAATGTTTTTCTTAGTACTCGTAACAAGCGCGTTATCGAAAAATGAAAAGTTAAACTTTTTTCCTAATCTTCCAGTTGTAAGTAACTTTAATAATTCATCGAAATAATATTTTTCACGTGCGCATATTATATCATTCATAATATAACTATGGATTTTTACCTTAAATAATAACAGGGAGAATACAAGGTGTATCCCAGAGCTATTATACAATGTAAACAAAAACAACATCTTTTTGAATTTAATATGTATTTGAATAGAATATCAAGTAACACTTCTGAAGTCAAAGGTAATATTACATGTATGAAACCAATGGACGATTCTGACAATGTAAGTATGTTTATACATGGTTTTTATTAAAATTGAATTGTGCCGTATTGCAAATAATGCCTAAGTGATAGTTTAACTGTTCGTAAACTATAATATTTATGTTCATTAATATTCATCACAATAGCTTGAAAAATCAAAAACTATTGAAAATGTGTGTTTTAAAATATCCACGGAAAGGTGTAGAATTTAAAAAAAATTATTTAATCTTTTCGTTGAATTTAAGAAGATATAGAAAAAATGGAGAAAATAAATAAATGACTAACTTCTTTATCAAATGAAAAAACCCGACAAACGAACTTACTCAAACNAATCAAATATACGAAAAGATGAATAATATTAATAGGAATAATTTAATATTATTTTGAATTTTATTAAACAAAACAGCAAATTATTGAAATCGTACCCATAAAAAAATAAACGTGATAATATATTATAATTACTATAAGAAACCGTTGGACGATTAACCTGATGTTAAGTTTAAACATTGATTTAACAAGATGTATTAAATATTAATTCAGTTAATTTTAATCTAGGGGTCAGAAAACTTTTTTAATAATTTTCAATTTGGTAAATTACTAAAAATATTAGTACTCCATATATACGTAACTAGGTATTACAATTATAATCGCAAAATGTTATTAATTTTTAATTTGAATTCACTAGGCGACTATCATATCAGTTAGTATTAAACCGGACATCCGTCTGTAACTTTGAAAATTGTGATTATTATTTGTCTTAATCAGATAATTCATCGTAATATTACTAATTGTTATTTATTGGCTTAATTAATATTAAATAATACGTATAAAATGAAATATATATATATGTATAACTTTGTTTAAAGATAGTAATAATCAGTGCAGTCAAAGATTCCATCGGTGGTTGGAAAGACAATGCTTTCATTTACAAAATTTCCAAAGCATGTTCAACGTTTGAGAAAGTATTTGGTAACTTGAGAACCACACTCAATCTAACCACAAAAAATAATAATTTTAATCGGAATTGTCCATATCCTGCAGTAAATATAATTCGCGTAATGTTATACTTTAATATATAATATTCAACAAATATATTTACGTTTAGGGTGTATATGTATCAAATGGTTTTGATTTTACAAGTTTCATGGCAAATGCGAATTTACCAAAACAATATTTTTACGGAATTTACAAAGCTCGATTTGAATTGTTCGATAAAAAAAACAATCAAATTGGTTGTGTAATTTTTGTCATAGACATTAAACGTCCCTGGGAAACCGAATAAGTCTATGTGTTGATTTTATACGTTTTATTATTGTTGCTTATTGACATAATACAAAATTTACAACACATTTCTACGACACTGGAAATTATATTGATTTATCGAACTTTTCACCTTTTATATTATACATATATCACATGTATAAAAAATAAATACAAATAAAATTACTACAGATTTTTAGTTAATAATTGTATGATTATAGAAACGTGAGGTAAGTGTAATCATTTACCAAAATTGTATTTTCCAACTATACGTGTGTCACACATAATATAATACATTGAGTATTGTAAAGTAAACTATCGAGGTGACATAAGGTGTATTTAATTGTTTTGTCACAAATAATATCTCTTAAAAAAGTATTGCTACCTAAGTTCGATACACGTTAATGCACCATACTAAACGCGCGTGTATGTCAATTAAAGCTCTAGTGGCGGTAAGGCACTATGCTCCGAATCTAAAAGGAATAAAGGTAAACTAAAAAATAAAATAATAAAAAATAAAAAAGTTGTACGGGCGACTCCGGGCGGGACTGTCCAGCCAGTATTAATATAATATGTGACATAGTTAATAACGAAGTTTTTTGACGGGAACCGTCAGTATCCAATAGTGAAGGTATAAACAATGATCCATCACAAAACTTGTGAGCATTGTAAAAGGAAATTTTTGATCATGAATAGTTTTAGTACGTACATCCCGACATTAAATTACGCTCATTAAATTTAAGCATACTCACGATACACAACATTGAATATACTCTCGAACATTTTCCATGCGCATTCTCAGTGATTTTTAAATTATACTTTACAGCACGATTTTTTTATTTTTTTGTGCCATTTTTTAATTTTATTTTGTTAAAATATACCTGATATTAATAGTATAGCTATCATTCGAGTAATAGTACGAAACGACAGAACATGACTAAGATGTTCAATTATTTTAATTGTACTGTGTTGTGCTGCAAAATAGTTTTTTCAGTCGTGCTACGGGTGTCGTAATCTTGTTTCTAGTCAGCTACTACCATAGATATGTATACACTCACTATACTATATGTATATTATATTGTAGAATAAAAAATACATATCGATGGCGACAGTGGCGTGCCCGGAGATTTTCAAGAGAAGGGGATGTAACAAATAAAAATCGTGAAAAATGAGTAAATCGTCTTCTTTACCCAACTCGTCTATGAGAATTGGTCATTTAAAAGCACAAACCTAAAAAATAGCCAATTTCTAATCAACCTTTTTCTCGAAAATGGGTCGAAATTTATGAGTTTTAATATTACATTACTCATATTTTTTTGTATTTTTAATCAATGGGAGGATATGACCCCTAACCTCCTCCTGGCCATGCCGCTGATGACAGGTACATATAGCATATACTTTACTATACTATGTAGTATATACATCCCGAGGGTACATAATATGTACGTACCATTAACTATTTAATATGTACTACACATTTTGTAGTGTACGTATATGTTACTGTGAATATCCATAGTTGGTGAATGCTGACAGTCACCGGTTGATGTCGACTCACACCTCCAAAATTAGTGAATGTTGAAAAATAAAAATAAAATTGGACATTTACTAGTGAATATCGACATTCAGATCAGGACTTTGGTCAATGTTACCATTCATAACACGGTTTTGGTTAATGTTGTCATACGTCATTGTATGTATATTGTATATAAAGTATACAAGTGTTTAATTTAATCAAATTATTATTATTATTATCATACAAAAATAATTACTTATTAATTGTTTTATTACTTATCGCAACATGGCCAACTGTCATGATATTTTCCAGCGAAAGTTGCCCAGAAGAAACTTTTTTTTTAAATAAAATATTTATAAAATTATTAATAAGTTTGTTAATCCCCTAGACTTTTAAATAATGTATAAGTACTAAGTAGTAAAATGTTTAAATTGATAATACCTATCTCATTATTGTAAACAATAACTTTAATAACAACAATGTTGTAAAACAATATCAGCATTACTAACATTCACCAAAATCGTTTTATAAACGTCGACATTCACTAGTGAATGTTTACAAATAGTACAAATTTAATCGATATGTCAACATTTACCAATGACTTGTGTGTATCGACATTAACCGGTGACTGTCAGCATTCACCAACTGCGAAAACTCACAGTAACATATGTACTAAACACTATAATATTATGCATAATATCTTGTGTCTAGTCGGTGACCGGCCATATTTCCGACAACACATCTCCAGTTAAGAACAACTTTAATTTTTTTATCAGGCTTTTTTAGATAAAAGACAATTCTTATAAAGCAATTAACCGGGAAAAAAATATTATTTTTACACGATTTAATTATTTGAAATTAGTACCTACCACGTTGTCTAGCACAAATATGGCTTCAATTGAAAAACGACAAGTGACTCTTTTTATTGAATTTTTAATCTTGTTTTTAATGATGCAGGTCGTTTTTTAATTGTCATATCAGTTTTCATAATAATCGGGAAAAAACGTAGGTAGGTTAAGTTAAAACAAAATATGGCACTTCAGATTATGTATTATGTATATTACTGAACTTCGCTCAGAATCGACTTTCTGCAGCGAAGATTTATCGTTGCTTACAGATATAAATTAAATAACAACATACATCTTAACTTCCCAATTTTTTTTTTATAACAGTTGCCGCAGCTGTCTCCAGTATCAGCTCTTTTTTATTTTGACCATAACTCATAATAGTTAATAATAATCGCTTATAACTAAGTGTGTGTGGCACTGGCAACCGTGTACCTACGCACTGACTCCAACTGGTAAGTCATAGCAGCGCGGTTCCTTAACACATGCAGTCGGCCACCCAAAATTTAATGTCATCCGCATGGTACATTTAAATATTCGAATATTTTTTAATCAAACGAGGTATAAATATTTTCACTATAAATAATCAAACCGTTTAATACGTATATATTAAGAAAATCGTTGGAACGTTATGGTTTCACATGTTACGCAGTAGAGTATTATTAACATATTTTTAATAATATGCATTCATCGGGTTCAATACTGCTCATACTGTTCGCGGGTATAGTAATAAAAGAAAACGAAATCGAAAATAATTAAATCGTCAATACCGCAAACTGTACCGTCATGAATATGTTTTTT